CTTTAACAATACTGCAGTGTTGTGTTTTTATCGAAGTGTAACATTCACATAAGTTTGAATTGATTGAATAGAGTTTAAGGACCTCAGCTCAGCTCTCTAATGACTCACAGATGCTAAGAGTATTAGCATAACTAGCTTGTGATATAGTTTGACATTATGTAAGGTAGGAATGAAAATACTGACTTAATTTATCCCCAAACTCCGGTCTTTACTCGTAGTTCTGGGACTGAACCCAGCGTCAATGTGTTCCACAGACAACTAAAAAGAAGGGCGTCATCAATAAAACGAGTCAAACTAAAGCAGAGGGAAACAACTTAAAAACAAGGAGAGGACTCGGTAAATTGAAGACCTATACTAAACCTTTGCATACAAGTCATCAAGCAAAAAAAACAACAAAAAAACAAAAACAAAAAGTAGCTTGCTATGGCCATGTTTGCTCAAAATAAAAAATCCAATTGTTTTCATTTTGGTTTTACAGTTTCTCTTAAGGGTTACAGAATCTCTGCTTTACAGCGATCTTTGCTTGTTCAGAGTGGCGTGTAGGCAGCTCCAAATGAAGGGAGATATCCGTAACTTTCAGAGTGGAGATGTGGGGCGGGGCTTTGGCAGTTTTTGACAAGATGATTTCTCAAGATCGCCTTGTGGGCGTTGAGGGGGACTTGGTGGGATTACAAGGACGGCAGCATCTGTTGTCCATGAAAGTTGAGCGGCTGCTGAGGGGAAAGTTCGGGAGCAGACACCCCTGAGGGAAAGACGGGCGAGGGGACAGCGGTGCCGTTTCTCACATGGACTCGAACTCATCGATGCGCTGCTTCGTGTTGCCCTGTCGGATCTGGCGCAGAGTTTTGTATTTGTCTCGGCCTGCTTTCACGTTCTCGGCGTGGAGCACATCATTCTGCGTCTTCTTGGTTTCGTCTCTGGCCTCGGCCAACTCTGAACTTAACGTCTGAGAGATCAAAGAAAAAGGGAGGATGAGAGGGTGATGGGGAGGGAAGGAAAATACGAGAAAACGGGGAAAAGAAGCAAAGGGTAGATAAAGAAAGGGAAAACAACAGTGGGGCGATGGAGGGGCGTAGAGGTTGCAGAGAAGAAGAAACAGGAAACAGGTGCAGAAGACAAAAAAACGCATCAATCATTTTAAAAGTAAACATCTGATTGACGCGAAGCAACGAAACATATCTAGAGCTACGCTTATCTATGTGTGTCAACATAAATCCTTCCAATCAGGTGCAACTTCAGATACACCCTGAAGCAGCGGTCTGCAGTTACAGTACAGGTTTGGCCCAGGCCTTTTGTTTGAGAACTTTTTCTTGCAGGCTAACAGGTGCAGTGCATACACGGACCCGTATGTGAACTCTTTGTTCGATATTTGTTTTTAAGATTAATAAAATCTCTTTTGTTGATGTTTGAACTCTTCTTGCCATAGCTTCAGTACAAGTCCTGGTCTATACAGTAGCCCAGCTTAGATCTACAGCCTCTGTAATATATCTAAAAATGATATGAATGGTTTTGATGTTACCAGTTTGTTCAATTCATTACCAGTAGGTCTGCTTTAAAGCCAGGCTACAGTCTAAGCCAGCACGTCTACTCCTGTTAAAAGCAGGAGTTTAAAGAAGAATGGACAGAGAAGTATGCCTTATCTTACCCTTATTTGCCATTTCTTGGCTGGTGTTTCTCCATTGCAACAAAACTGCTGTTAGAAAATAATATAATCTTGTTGTTATTTGTGTTTTGGAGACGCAAATCTCTTTTGGTTAAATAGAAGTGATGAACTAAAGAGATATATATTCTTTAAATAAAAGAGTTGTTTTTAAAAAATATTTATTCATCTGGGAAGTTCTAGACCTGTCAATAGCAGGTCGCTCTCCACATGGGAAGTATTTATTAGAGGTGTTCTAATGTCATTTTCTTAGAGATTAAAATGAAATTTATTTGAAGTGAGAGAGTTCATTTGACCTTGAGAAAAGTAGCTCTCAGGGTCATTGTCATTTTGTCAAGGATATGTGACCCACAGGCAGCCATTTTCCAACCCGACCCTGAAGGTTTTCACCCCTCGCTCTTACCTGCAGCTGTTGTTTGACCCTCTCATTCTTCTGGGCCTCAGTGACGCGCGCCTCTTCACTGCGGAGGTCTAGCTGGCTGACGCCCTCGTTGGAGAGCTCGGCGCTGGCCTCCGCGTGGTTCTCATCCTGCTCGTCGTGCTCGTTCTCGGCGTTGCCGCCCGGAGGCGCCGGCACCACTGTCATTGCGGTCTTCAGCTCCTCCTTGGTCTTCTCCAGGTCCTCCTGTGCTGACAGGGCCTGCAGGTGAGGGCACGGGGAAAGCGTAAGACAGATATATATACTGGACTCACAGCAGACAGGTGACCAACTGTTGACAACACTGTGACAGCCCACATGGTATTCTATGGCATGAGGAATCATCAAAATAGTATGAAGTCTAACTTTCATTTTTCTGTACATCAACTGGCTCATTAATGTCTGACGTGTATTTGTTTCTAAAAATAAACTCTTACTCAACGCTTTCTAGCCTATGGAAATCTTTTCTTGTTTAACATGAGGTTTTGCATTGAGGTATCACTATAATTTACATGTTTCCACTTAAAACAAACATAAATGTTGTTGAAGTTTGTTTAGCCAACAGTTGGTTAGTTCATGTAAGCCCTTTCTGAACACTAATATTTAAAACGTATTAGGGATGTTTGTATATTTGTATTTTCCATTTCGTATGTTTATTGGGCATGATTTTCATATACGCCATTACAGGTTTCTACCATAGCCTGACACGTACTTTAATATTTCTTTGATGTTTTTTGTATTTATGCATGTGAAACAAGAAAAACACATGGAAATAACAACTGCAGGATCTATGGATCAAAGGCAGGGCAGTTCCCCTGAATAGCTGCAAGTCCCCGTTACGGTACCCGCATTGTGTATGTTACAAACACTTTAAGGTGAATGACCAATGAAGCCAGTGTTCGCTCATGTAGGACCGGAGGAGAGGAGACCTGTACCTTGTGCTGCCATTCTGTGGCCTCTTCGTCTTTCTTCTTCTTGGCTTCTTCCAGGAGAGCAATCTTGGCTGTGAATTCAGCCAGTTCAGAAGCCTGGGATAAGACAGACCCTTCTGTTACACGTATTTTACATTTAAAACAAACAAGAATGTACTCCAGATTATGTTAAAAACCGAAATAACCAAACATAAGCCAGCCAGTAATTGCTCACACCGTCAGTTAAAACAAACACATACCAGTTGCTCCTGGGTCTTCTGCTGGTCTGCAGCCTGTCTGGCCAGCTCTGCCTTGGCCTCCTCAGCAGCCTGCCTGTCTCTCTCCAGCCTCTCGGCCTCCTCCCTCGCCCGCTTTCTCTCCTGCTCCAGCTCCATGGCCAGGCGGGTCTGCTCCTCAAGCTCTGTGGAAGGGCAGACGCGGTCTCATTACACATTTCTATCACACATACAGTGTGATCTCTGCTGATAATGACTGCTGAGGTCAGATACCGTTGATTCAGGAACATAAATCTGGACTAAGGGTTTATTTCCAAATACATACAGAAGTTTAATTTGCTAATAATGTCTGACCTGTGTTGTACAAGTATTGATGCATTATTATTCCTAAATATGGCAGTCGACATGGTACTAGTGAACAGATGGATAAAAAGTAAAACAGGTACCTTTCTGAGCTCTCATCGTCTGCTCTTCAATCTGTCTCAGCCTCTCCATGAGCTCGTCCTTCTCACGCTCTATTCTCTCCTTCTCTTTCTCCGCATACTCGCGCTTTTTCTTCTCATTCTCCAGCTGAGCCCTGGGAAGTTTTGAAAGTACAAGTTTCAGATTACTTGGGCTTTACTCTACGATAGTAACAAATATAGAGAAACACAGTAACAAGATACTTTCTGGTGCGCACAAGATACTTTTCTCGTGAGCACCAGAAAGTATCTTGTGCTCACGAGAAACATTAGGTTAAGTACAGGCAGTTGTGCTTCCTGTGCGTATGACTCATTAACTGCAGTCAAGCCAGCCGTTAGGCCGGACAGTCCGGCTTTTAAATGCCTGTCCCGCAGGGCGCAGCCTTAAACCAGACACTCATTTGTCCTCCTTTTGAGAAAATAACTAAAAAGTAAGTATCTTTGTGCGCACGAAGAAACTTTTTTTTTTTTTTTTTTCTTCTTCCCCCATGTCCCTTTAGGGGCTCCGTAGAAGCTGCAGCACCTTTAACTGAATAAAATACTCTGGCATTCAGATAATGTATGTAAAAGAGGTAACACTGCCCTCCAGTGGGGGAACTCTGCCAACTACTTTTTGACTTCAATACTCAAGTGTCTTTGTACATATATTTATGTATTGTCAAGTCAGTGAAGTGAGAGGTTAATTCACTTTGCCAGTGATGAGATATGATTACAATTACCTTGTGATAATTACAATAACAATAATAACAAAAAATAACATGGTTTGTGAGTGTTCCTCTGCAGTACCTCTCCATCTGTTTGTGGTGCTTCTCCTCCCGGGCCTGAGCCTTCATCTGCTGCACCTCGATGGTGTCGGGCTTTCTCCTCCTCATGTACAACTCGTGGTTACCCATACACAATGCCAAGATGCGCTTGTTGATGCGCAGTCGTGGGGCATAGAACACAAAGTCCTACATGTTTTTAAAAATAAGAAAGGGGTTAGATAAAGTCAAATATATCTTGCCTTTTCTATATGTTTGATGAATTTGACACTCACAGGTGCTTTCTTGTCAATAGGTTTGATGACAAACTTCTTGTCATTGAAAGAGATGTTTCGAATCTCACTCCAGGGGAAGCCAATCTTTGGTGTCAACCTGAAAAAAGAAATGTCCAAAAGTGGTTAGCAATTTACATTTAAACTCATGACACACAGTCCAGGATATTACACACTTGTTGGGAGTGTTTTATAACATTCAGCCAGCAGATGGTGCCTAGCATAAGCAGACCTCTTTACAAGATATCAGGAGATACTTTCGCTTACGTTTCAATCTTCATTTTCCTTTTTTTTTTCAGTTAAGTAGTTAAGAATAGTGACAGGAAATAGGAGGTGGATAAAACAGAAAATATCTCTTCCTGCCAAGTATGAAAAGGATGGTGGGTGTTCTCTGTTCAAGAAGGAAAAAATAGAAAGAAAGGAAAGGAAAAGGGATAAAGTGATAATGAGGAGGTTGATGCCTCAGGAGAGATAAAGGAACTATCCCTTATTTCCTTCCTTTGTCACCTGGACAACAGGAGGGGGATAGCAGTTGAGATGACCTAAGCAGTGAGAGGAAATGCTACAAGAGTTGTGATTAGATCTATCCCTCCACAAAAAGGGAAAATAAATCTCTGACCAGAGGACAGGAAAGACTCCTACAATGGACAGACGTGGTCTTCCTTTCCCCACCTCTCCCTCAGTTTTCCATTCGAAATAGAGCTTTGCTTCCTTTAAACTTGAATTGTGCATCTCATCTCATGTTGGCATCCAACCTCTCATAAAGTGAGAAATAGTAGAGGTGGCCTGGCTGATTTATGTAATAAGTTAGGATCAGAAAACAAGAAAATGCAGTACAGACATCTGAGTTAGTTTTGAAACAATGTCACTATTACATTTAGTCCACAAGGATGCACTGGATCTTGCTTTACTGACAGCAACTGCTGGACCAGCTCTGTGGATACTAAAAGAGTATTTATTGGCAAATGGATCTACTGCAGTCTGGCTTGTGAACACATTCACAGTACTGAGTCTAGTTGTTTCCAAAGATTCAGCCTCGCACCAAAATGTGTCATAACTCAAATTAACAATGTCAAAGCTAAACAGCCAGTTGTTTCCAAGTCTGATCTATACAGTTTTAACTGTTTCAAGTGCTTACAGTATGTGCTCTGCTGTCATAACAGAAAGAGCCTTCACAGAACCCACATAAATATCCCTCTCCTTTGGGCATTGGATGACTTAAGTCCTTGAAAATCTATTAAACATATTAAAAGCCAAAATTCTGAAAAGCTCCAGCCAAAGACACAAGCTGAAAGAAACATTATGTTGTTTTTTTCTCTCAACAATCTAAATGCTGGAATTACTGCAATGTTTCCAACTAGTGCTTCACTATACAATAAAATGTTGCGAGCCAAGAGCTGATAATAGTAATTTCAACTTCTTTCAGAACAAATCCAAATTATTTTACATGTTATTTGCTAAAAGACATACGGCTCTGGCTCTGATCTTGTGAGACACAGCAGGTAGAACAGACACCGCTATGACAACATGCGTTGACACACATCGGTTGTGACATGCTGTGTCATAAGCCTCCACCTACTCATTTGTCCTCATGCCTGCTGCTATTTAGTAATCATCTGCAAACCACAGCCCTGAGCCCCTTGCAAGCGCCTGTCCGTATGTGCATTGATCCATACCAAAACACCACGCATCTATTTTGGGAAATAAAGTGGTATCTGAAAGCTGAGGTGTTTAGCCTTAATGATAATGTCCAAGAGTCTTCACTGTCAGGCCAACAATGCAATATTTTATAGGATTAGGCTGAATTGGACTTTTCCCCCAGAACTCATTACTTATTTTGTAAATGAAATCAACAACAAATCTGTGTGTGTGTGTGTGTGTGTGTGTGCCCCTTACTTGTCTTCGTGTTCATAAATGTTGAGGCCAAGAGCATCCACGCCCAGCCACAGCTGTGTGCCCTTCTTGTTTTTGATCTCAAAGTAGTTGACTCCGTACATCTCTAAGTCCTGGGCGATTTTAAGATATTCCATCATAGAGTCCTCTCTAGAGAAAAAGGAAAAGCAGGAAGATTTTATATTATATATGTTTTATTAGATAATGTCCACAATGTAATGTAACATCAGCAAAACAGAATCCAATCGGTGTCTGACCACAATCACGTCACACATTCCAATAACAGTAGATAACACTCTCAGACAATCACATTTAGTTCTACATCCAAACAAGACACAACAAGCCCAAAGGCAAACACTCAGGGGGGTTTTTAAGTAAAGAATGTGATGAGGAAAGTTTGACACATACCTGAGCATTCCTCTGTGTTCTTCGTGCCAAGTCTGTATCCTGTCCTCCCACTGCTCCTTGGTCAGCTTGTGCTGCTCCAGGACTCTATGCACACAAACACAGACACAATGACTTCACCTGATGGGATGTTGAAATGCACAGAATTGTTTCCTCGAGAGGAAATGATTGAAAATTCCAACAGCGAACAAGATGCATTCCAGGTTTCAAAGGATGTAGTCTGTGTGTGGAATCTCAAGGACACCTCCCACACATCCAGTCACTTTGGCTCACAACAGAAACATTTAGGTTGTGACATATTTGTGTGTGTACCTCTGAGGCAGCAGTCTGTCATGGGTAAGGTACCCAGGCTTGTGCACATCTTTGTTGTAGTCTCCATACTTGGCTTGGACAGCGTATGACCCCAGTAACACAGCTGTCTCTGGAGGACAGTAGTTCTCATCATTCAGGATGGCCTCCTTCACCTGGTAAAACAGGAGGGAGTGAAGGAGTTAACGAATGGAACAGATTTCATTTATTCAACACTCTTAATTTTTTGCTTTTAACTATTTCTAAGTAAAATCTACTGTTTGCCTCTTACTCTCATGTGCTGTCAGCTAACCTTGTAACATTAAAACCTCATCCTGACGCCATTTATCCTGTGTGAGGATGTCATCAGTGTGTGCCAGTGCAGTAAACGCAAAAGGTTTTTAACGCTTCACTGAGGTGGAAAAGACGCTGCATCATTAAAAAGAAAATGTAATAAAGTGCAATGGAAAAAGACTTTGTAAGTAAGTCATCTACTAAAAGACTCTTTTGCACTACTGCCATATTTAAATATCCTTTGCATTGACCTATACAACTTTCCTCTTGCACTACTGCCATGTTTACAATGCCTTTTGCAAAGCTTTATTACATCATTCAAGCATACACTACCTCATTTATTCAAGTTGTACATGTTGTTTTATATATATAT